TATGTTCCAGCAGTCTTGACACCACCTCTTGGTTTGGCAAGTGTTCAGCAAAAGCATTAGTCTCTTTTGACCCAATTAAAGGTCACACCTATCCCTTGTAACAATTTCATGGCTTTTCTTTTCTCATAGATGTAGTACCACCATCTAGCCTCCTCTTCCTTTTGGATCCAGCTTATTACAAAGTTTGGATCACCTTCAATTAATAACATTCTGATTTCAGATCCTTGCCTTTTGAATTTTTTGCATGACGACCATAATTTTGGCCCTCAAGGAATTCCCTATTCCAATTGGGCCTGAGTAGATTACAATGACATTTCCCTCCTCATTCCTAAAGACTATTTCAATGCCAGATGGGCCTGGATTGCCTATATTGCTGCCATCAAAGTTGAGTTTTATAAATCCTCTAGGAGGTTGGGATCGAAAAAGGCCTAACCACCTTAAAAGGGGAAGAAACAACTGCTTCACTTCAATTCCTCTCAATTCACCCCCAGAAATATCTTTGAAAAGATCTGATGATTTCATCCAATGGACCACCTCAATGGTGATGGCTTCAACGGTAGCTTCTCTATTTCTTTCTCTTTCAAGAAAGGTTCTGTGGTTCGTCTCTTCCCAAATTGTCCAATAGACTGCTGCCCATGTTTACCTCCAAAACATTCTTGCCCTCTTCTTTGTCCAGCTTATGAAAGTAGGAGCGGGCAGGCTTTGTACATTAGGCAGAGGGTTCCACCATTAACTTTGCAGAGGGAGCACTAATGGGGGAAAGGCACCAATTAGGTCTTTTTCTTTGTAATAGACCACAAGTATTAATTCTTTCCAGATACAGTTCCTAGCACAGACCATCCACCATTCCACCCTATGCAGAGCAGGTTTACTCCAAATCTCCTTAATTGGAAAAGAAAACCCTTATTGTCACTGGGCTGAATATTCTGAACTACACCTCACGCCTCTAGGTAGTGGAATGCCTCACATCACACCTTTGCGTTTTAAAATTTTGCTTGCAACTAATGGCTAGATTCTGGAACTTCAGCTACTAGTGCTACAAGAGCTTCTCCTTGGAAGTCTATTTGTGACATTCTACCTCTCTTCTTACCACATATCAGGTATAGTCCCAGTTCTGGAACTTGTGTTAAATTCCGGAACCATGTTTAGGCAAGCAACCAACCACTAAAGAGTAAAGACACCTCACCTCTCTTTATGCCATCTCCAACCGAAGGGAGGAGCCTATTTCCTGTTTTATGGTGCCATCTAATTCAAATTTTGAGTACGACTGGGATTTGGGGTTCAGAAGAGAGCTACGTGAGTATGGAATAAGCAATGTCAGGAATCCAATACAAGGCCTGGAACTGGAAGGGGTGTTTTTTGGAAGATGGAAAAAGGGTTAGGAGGATTTGGACCTTGTCACCCTCTGGTACCTTAACATGTGCATCCTTAAGAGGTGTAAGCTTCCCAAACACAAGGCAGCACAAGCCTATGGCTCCTTAAGAGGAGGGGGAGGAGGAACAAGTAGAAGGGGGATCTCATTTTTCTTTGTTTTTAATAAAAAGCTTTATATTAAGCAAAATGAAGATGCATAACACTAGCTGAAAGGGGGGTTCTAAAAAAACAAATTGGGCTTCGTTGGAAAAGGGGTTTGGGGGCAAAGTCCTTGATCTACTTTCTTTCCCCTTCTCTCTCCTTCCCTTCCCTTTTCTTTTATTTCTTTTCTGTTTCTTTCTTTTTCTTTCCCTTCCCTCTCTTTTTTTTTTGTCTTTTTATGAGGTGTGTGTGAGGCACATGAGGCGCATGCCTCTTGCACCTGAGGAGTATGCCTCAGAGGTGTCAATGCATTTGGCATACACCTCAGAGCATTTTGGGGGCGCCTTGCCTAGAGGCATGCCTCCAGGCATATGCCTCCCATGCCTTTTAAAACACTGGCTGCAAGCCCATGAATACTAATTATCACCTTCATCCACAACTTATGTCTATCCAAGGGCAATCTCCATAACCATTGCCTAACAATGCAATGTTCCTCTCTTGGATATTACCAAGACCTAACCCTCCATACTTCTTATTATCTACAAACAACTTCCCAATTTACTTTATGATCCATCTTCTCTTCCCCTTGCTCCCATAAAAATTCCCTCATCAACTTCTCTAATTTTCTACTTACCCCAGCCCGAATCCTAAAATCTGACAAATAATACACAAGTAAGTTGGCTATTGTAGATTTGATTAATGTGATCCTCATAGGGACAAGTAATTGCACTTCCATGAGGCCACTCTCTTGGTGAAAGGTTCAATCACAAGATTCCAAAAATTACTACTCCTCGGATTATCCCCCAAAGGTACCCAAGTAAGTCATAGGCCACTCATAAAAAAGACAACCCAGAATTAATTTTTAGATTAGACATTTTTTCAACCATATTCATCCCCACTAAGCAACTGTTATCAAAATTAATTTTTAGATTAGACATTTTTTCAAAGATTTGCACCATAGCCCTTAAGTTTCTCACCCAACTAAGCTCACCCTTTTCACAAAATAACATAGTATCATCAACAAACTGTAGGTGAATAAATGGTACTTCTTCTCTCCCCACCCTCCAACCCTTTATTAAACTTCTAGAATCTGCCCTATCTATGAGTCTATGGGCCCCCTTGTCTAATTCCTCAAAGGGCTAGGAAATGATATATCATTGTCTCATTTATCGGTATTGAGTAATGACTAGTCTTAACACACTCCATTATCCATCTGCACCATTTGTCACCAAATCCAAAACTTTCTATGACATCCATTAAGAAATCCAATCAACTAAATCATTTGCCTTTTCCAAATGGAACTTATAGACAAACACCCTTTCTTTCTAGTTCCCTTCGTATTCTCCACACTTTCATTAGCAATTAGAATTTGATCAGTTATTGGCTCGTCCTTAACAAAAGCCCCCTAAGACTATGAAAGGGAGTACTAGTGTTTTAAAAGTGCAAGGCGCAAGGTGCAAGGCGAGGTGTACACCTTTTTGAAGCAAGGTGCAAAAATACAAAAAACGCTAAAAAATGAAAAAAAGTCAAAAAATTAAAAAAATGCAAAAAATATTAATCATACTATTAATAAAAAATATCAACTTAAAATTTAAAATAAATGTTTTAAAAAACCTATTATCTAAAATTAAAATTCATAAATATTACATGTAAATCATATTCAAATGAAAATTTCAAAATAAAATCAAACATATAAAACATTTTCAAGAATGTAAAATCCACAATCTCTTTTTTTCCTCAATTGCATTACTTCAAGTAGCTAATGTGATGTAAAAGATATTAAATTCCTGATTCTACAAGTTGCCTTTTTGCCACGCCCCTCGAGACAAACCCAAACAAATCTATGTTTGGGTTTTAAATTCTTAGTTCTCACACAAAAAATAACGATTTTGTATTTTAATTGCCTTTTGAGAAGATATTTTATTAGGATGAATGAATGAACAACATTAGCAAATAGGGGGTTCTTGAAGCTTCGATGAGCAAGGGAAGCGAATGAAACTGGTTGAGGCACCAGGTGTGTGCCTTTTGAAAGGGCTGCGCCTAGGGCCTAGGCGAGGTGCATACCTTAAAATGCACCTCACCAGTGTGCCTAGGCACGCCTTTTAAATCAATTGGGAGTACAACCCTAATCCTTTGAAAAAGCACCTTAGCAATGATTTTATAAAGGCTATTAACCACGCTAATTGGTCTGGAATCTTTGAGATGCAAGGCCTTAGCTTTCTTCGGGATCAAAGCAATGAAGGTTGAATTCAGACCTAAGTTAATCACACCCCTCTCCAAAAATTCATCAAAGACCTTTTGGATATCATCTTTTAATTTCTCCCACCAGTCTTGGTTGAAGGCCATAGTAAAACCATTAAGGCCAGGGGCTTTAGCTCTATCCATAGAAAAGATTGCTTTCATTATTTCTTCTCTATGAAATCTTCTTTCTAGCCAGCTCTTAGACTCCTTTGATAACTTAGGCCACTCCAACCCATCAATCCAATTTCTATCATTGAAAGGATTTTTAAAAATTGATTTGAAGTGTTCCACAAAGGCTTGAGCAATCTCACTCTGTTGGTAGACACTCACCCCATTCACCTCCAATTTTGACACAAAGTTCTTCTTATCCTCCCACTTGCCAACACATGAAAGAATATAGTATTCCTATCTCCCTCCTTGATCCACTTGATTTTTGCTTCCAACTTATTTCCTCTTTCAATAAAAGGTCCTCCAAATTCTTCCACAAAAGCCATCTCTCGTTCACGTAATTTTCCTATTAGGGGTGATTATTTCTAGATTGGCTGACAAACCTAGCCTGGCCTGAAAATTTCTGGGCCCGGCCTAGGCCCAACACTTTAGGCCCCACCCAGGCCTGGTCCGGCCTACAAATCTACAATGTATTTATATGTTACATATATTATTTTATAATACATGATATATAATATATAAATATTATAAACTGACACATAAAATATTATATATACTATTATTTTATATTTATGTAAATTATAATATATATTTTATACATTAATGTAAATTATTATATATATTAAATATATTGTATTTAGTGATGTAGGCCCAAAGTGCAGCTTGGACCCGCATAGACTTGAGCCCAAGACTATATTTCAGGCCTGGGCCCAGGCTATAGCCCCTTGTCATAGGTGCTAAGCCCAGCCCGGTCTGGCATGGTCCATGATGACAGATTGCTCCTATTTTCAATATAGCAAGTCTAAGACCTAAAATGTTGCTTGTGTTTATTGAGAAATAGCATGTTGAACATAAAAATCCATTGGAAAAACAAACTTCTGTACATATGTTGGGAAGTACTTCTGTACAAGTCTAAGACCTAAAATGTTGCTTGGATTCTTATAAATCCAAAAGTACTTCTTTCATACTTATTTTGGTTAATATGAGGCATTTGTTTGGATAGCTTTAATATTTACAGAGGAGTTTAATTCTGTTTGCCTTGTTTTCAATCTGGTCTTCCAAATTCCTTATTCCAGGGTAGTTGAAATGCAAGAGATCATTGATCAACAGGTTGCTGAGGAAGCAGCTGAGGCTGAAGGGGAAGATGACATGGCAGCAATTGCAAATCCTCGTAGATCTGACAAGTAATTTCTTGGAGATGATATCCTTAACATATTTATACTGAATGTTATAGTGTCTGGAGCTTCTCCAATTTTGTTTTGGTGATAGTTACTCTATTTTCTGCAGAAAATCAACAAGGCAGATGGCTTCTTCTAAAAGCTTGACACAACATAAATCGAAAATTCAGGGGAAAGGTTACAAGGATAAATGCTATGAGCACATTGGGAAAGCAGTTGAAGAACGATTTAACAAGTTGTTGACAGAGGTTTTTTTTTCTCCTTTTGTTCACATTTAATCTGCAATGTGTTATTGATTGGAAAAATATTTTGGTCTCCTAGTTTGGCATTACTTTTTTTTTTCTAATTGTGCTTCATCCATACAGCTTGTTTTTGAGGACCTAAAAGCTGCTTTGGAGGAAGCTCGAATGGTAAGCACAGTTGCTACCCAAAAATGCTTAGTATTTTCTTTTGTCAAACTCTCTTTCCGGGGAAGATTTTTTTTTTGTAGAATCATAAATGCTCTGAATCGTTGTAAGCCATAAGTTCATAAAAATGTCAGAATGACTACTTGCCTAATAATGACAGGTTTCTCTCTTTCCTTGGTCCTCATTTGAGGTCCAAACCCCTTCTATAAGATTTTTCCACACTTTCTCCTGCTTAATCACTTGATTTCTGTGAGAATCTCTAATCTCCCAAAGGGTATTCTTCTGAGTAATTGCTCAGTTGTTTTAAAAATTTACTTGATTCTGAATAAGAAAGGTCATAAACTGGGAGAACAATGTAAGATGCTGTTGTTGGATTTGGATTAGCCATTACTGCATATAGCTGTCTTAGAGGTGGAAATGTGCTTCAAATGACAAGCATATCATCTGGATTTTAGATGCTGAAAATAGTAATGGTCAGTGATAGAATCTGCTAGAGATTTGATACAACTATTGAATTTCCCCCTCAAATCTCTTTTTCTTTTTTTTTTGAGAAAAAGGTGACTTTCATTCACAAAGGAATGGGAAGGATAATCTAGTTCTTGGTTTGTTTGTATTTATTTTTGGATTATAATGTCAAATCTCTCATTTGATGACAACTAGGTTGCTCCTTTCCATTTTTCTAAGTAATATAGCTTTACTATTCTACTGTTGATATGAATAGGCCATTAGCTGAGATCTTTATTCCAACAAGTCCTTACAAGCCTCTCCATACTCATTTCTAACTCCATTTTATTGATGCTTTGACTCTTAGATTGGGGATGAACTTGGAGATATATACGATTATGTGGCTCCTTGTTTTCCTCCAAGGTTTGTACATTAGGATAACTTTTCACTTTATGGTTTGAATTAGCTATTCCTTATCCATTTCTAGAGGTTTATAGGAAGCTTTTAAGAAAATATCATTTTCCATTATTTAACATGTATTTTTTAAGAAAGAGTTGCTTCATTAAGAACATAAGCAAGCTGCACAAGAATAAATAGACAAACAGCCCAACTGAAAGTCTTCTTGGGCATAATGTTGTTACTACACAAAAAAAGACCTTAAAACCCCTAATTTATTTAAACTATCAGATGTAAATCTGTCCTTCAACTGTCATATAAAAACTGATTAAAAACAGAAAAGAGTGAGAGAGAAAAGAGGATTACAGCAGAATAGAAGAAGACAGAGAAGAATAAGAGAGTCTGATGGCTTCATCTCTCCCTCACTAATCTTTTATTAATCTTAATTAACTAGGCTAATTACAAGTCTGCCCTTTAAGTGGGCAGCCAGCTAAGCAAGAACTTAAAAAAATTAAAAAGAGGTTAACATACCCATGAAGAAAAGGCCCATTAACACATAAAACAAATAGAACGCTGCTTAAACATAAAACAAATATTAGGGCCCATTCGGCCCAGTCTCTCTACACTCCCCCTCAAGCTGAGCATAGATATCAATCATGCCTAGTAGACCTGTTCATGGACTGGGCTCTGGCTTCGCTTTAATTTGAACGGGGCCCGACCCGAAGCCCGAGCCCGACACAGTGTAAGTCAGGCCTGAAGCCCGGCCTGTGAATAGGTCCAATGCCCAACTTGCTTATATAGGGTGTTAGCTTTCCTTTTGGAACACCTTTGGTCAAAACATCAGCCAATTGCTCTTTTGAAGCAATAAATGGCAAGCAAACTTCCCCTGAAGCAACTCTCTCCCATATAAAATGTCTATCAACCTCTATGTGCTTAGTTCTGTCATGCTAAACAGAATTATGTGCAATGTTGATAGTTGCTTGGTTGTCATAGTAGGGTATCATTGGCTTTTCATAGTCAATACCCAACTCTTCCAAAAGTGATCTCAGCCACAATAATTCTGACACTGCATGTGCCATTGCCCTGTACTCTGCTTTAGTTGAGGATCTAGCTATTACAAACTTTTTCTTACTCCTCCATTTGACAATGTTCCTTGCCACCAAATCACAATATCCTGAGGTGGATCTCCTATCATCAATACATCCGGCCCAGTCGGCATCAGTGTATGCTTCCAGCTTCATGTGTCCATGCTTGGAAAACATAATACCTTTCCCTGGAGTGCCTTTCAAGTAGCACAAAACTCTTCCTATAGTTGCTAAATGTGTATCTTTGGGAAAATGCATAAACTGACTAATAACACTCATTGCATAGGAAGTATTTGGCTGAGTCATGCAGAGATATAACAACTTCCCAAGTAGTCTCTGGAACACTCCCCTATCAGACAACAGTTCACCATCGAAATAGCAGAAAGCTTACGGTTTAGGTCTATAGGGGTGGAAGTTGGTTTAGCACCAAGTTTACCATTTCTGCAAGGAGGTTAAGAACATAGTTGCGTTGAGAAATGAAGATACCATCCTTAGATCTAGTAACTCCAATTCCAAAGAAATATCTGAGATCCCCCAAATTTTTTATCTCAAATTTAGTGTTAAGAAATCTTTTGAGTTTAATCACTTCTTGAGTGTCATTACCAGTAACCACAATGTCATCAACATAAACAATTAGAAAGGTCACCAAAGAGGTATTTTTCTTCACAAACAAAGTATGGTCAGATTGAGTCTGTGTATAACCAAAAGAAATAAGGGCAGCTCTGTATCTCTCAAACTAGGCTCAAGGGGACTGTTTGAGACCATAAAGAGACTTTTTCAATTTACACACCTTCCCTTGCATTTCCTTTCCATACACCCTTGGAGGTAAAGACATATAAACCTCTTCATGTAGGTTTCCATTTAAGAAGGCATTTTTAACATCAAACTGGTGAAGGGGCCAATTAAAAGTAGCAACTAGATACAACAAAACTCGAACCGACATCTCGAACCGAAATCATTTTAGCCACAGGAGCAAAAGTCTCAAAGTAATCAATATCATACATCTGAGTGTAGCCTTTAGCAACCAATCGAGCCTTAAGCCTCTCAATAGTGCCATCATAATGATACTCAATAGTGAATACCCATTTACAACACTGGTTCTTTCATTTCAAGAAAGTCCACAATATCCTAGGTATGGTTCTTATGCAAAGCATCTAGCTTAATCATCATAGCATCCCTCCATTCAGGTTTGGACAAGGCTTCTAGTATAGACCTGGGAATCACATAGGTAGAAATAGTGGCAAGAAAAGAATAATAGGTAGGGGATAGAAGGCTATAGGATAGGTGTTTAGAGATATAATGTGTTGTACACTTCCGCTTGCCTTGCGAAGGGCAATAGGAAGGTCAAGGTCTGGGAAGGTAGTAGATTGGTCAAATGAAGGCTAGCTTGTTACCTCAGTAGTGATGCGAGGTGCAAGAGGCTCTATTGAAGGAGTGGAAATAACATGCCCATGCCTAAATCAGTGTCTTTGGTATCACCTTTGGACAATATGATGGGAAGGAAATATAGGAGGATGAGCTAGGGGAGGAAGGGGAGCAGGAACATGTGAAGTAGACATAGTGGAAGGAGAGACAACAAAAGAAGATGAGGAACAACTGAAGACATAGCAAATGGCTCCTCAAAATGCTCTCTCTCAGGAGAAATACCAAAGGTCTCAACTATTTTAACATCCCTAGAGACAAAGTGGGTGCCACGAACCTGATCAAAACAACAATATCCCTTCTGTGTGGAGGCATATCCTAGGAAGACACACTTATGTGCCTTATCCTCAAATTTGTGTCTCTAATGATTATGAACATGCATATAGCAGGTGCACCCAAAAACTCAAAGGGGAAGAGAAAAGAGATCCTCATCCGGAAAGAGAAGGCTAAATGGGGTTGTGAAACCCAGAACCTGGGAAGGAATATAGTTAATTAAATATGTGGTAGTAAGGACAACATCCCCCCAAAATTTAATAAGAGCATGAGACACAAAAATGAGGCATTTAGCAACCTCAACCACATGGCGGTTCTTCCTTTTCGCCACTTCATTCTATTGTGTAGTGTAGGAATAAGAACTTTGATGAATAACCCCACATGTCTCAAAGTAGGATGAAAAGTTCATATCAAAATATCCCTTAGTATTATCAGATCAGAATATTTTGATCCGGGTGTTAAACTGGGTAAGCATAAGTTTGTGAAACTTTTGCACTATAGTTGGTACTTCATCCCGGGATCTCATGAGATAAATATAATAAGAATAATCATCAATAAAGGATAAAATACTTGTAACCCCCCATAGTAGGCATATGATATGGTCCCCACACATCAGTGCAAGAGGCTCTGTTGAAGGAGTGGAAATAACTTGCCCATGCCTGAATCTTTGTCTTTGATATCACCTTTGGACAATAGGATGGGAAGGAAATAGAGGAGGATGAGCTATGGGAGAAAGGGGAGTAGGAACATGTGAGGTAGGCATAGTGGAAGGAGAGGCAACAGAAGAAGATGACTCAACAGAAGACTCAAAAGGAATTAGAAGAGGAACAACTGAAGACATAGCAAATGGCTCCTTAGAATGCTCCCCCTCAGGAGAAGTACCAAAGGAGTAGAATCAACTAATGTGACATCCCTAGAGAGAAAGCGGGTGCCACGAAATTGATCAAAACAACAATATCCCTTCTGTGCGGAGGCATATCCTAGGAAGACACATTTATGTGCCTTAGGCTCAAATTTGTGTCTGATGATTATGAACATGCATATAGAAGGTGCACCCAAAAACTTAGAGAGTAAGAGAAAAGAGATCCTCATCTGGAAAGAAAAGGCTAAACGGGATTGTGAAACCCAGAATCCAAGAAGGAATACGGATAATTAAATATGTGGCAATAAGGACAACATCCCCCCAAAATTTAATAGGAACATGAGATGCTAAAAGGAGGCATCTAGCAACCTCAACCACATGGCAGTTCTTCCTTTCCGCCACTCCATTCTATTGTGAAGTGTAGGAACATGAACTCTAATTAATAACCCCAAAGTTTTCATAGTAGGATGAAAAGTTCTTCTGAAAATATCCCTTAGCATTGTTGGATCGGAATATTTTGATTCGGGTGTTAAACTGGGTAAGCATAAGTTCATGAAACTTTTGCACAATAGCTGGTACTTCATCCCGGGATCTCATGAGGTAAATCCAAATATAACGAGAATAATCATCAATAAAGAGAATAAAATACTTGTAACCTTCCATAGTAGGCAAATGATTTGTGGCCCCCACACATCGGAGTGCACAATATGAAAAGGAGAAATAGATCTTTTATTGCTTACTGAATAAGAATGTTTACAATGCTTCGCAAGTTCACATGACTCAAAGCAAAAAAAGGTAAATGACCAAACTGTAAATGACATAACATGACTCTATCAATAGGCTCTGACAAAACAGACTCCAAGGCTACTCCATTAGGTGGTTCAAGGCTCCTATCAGGTGTGTCTAACAAATATATTCCACTCGCCTCATTGCCACTCCCAATCATCCTCTGAGGTTTCAGGTCTTGAAAAACACAATGGGTAGGAAAAAAGGTTATGCTACAATTCATGGATTTAGTCAAGCTACTAACAAATAAAAGGTTGGTATTATGCTTGGGGACATGAAGAACATAAGATGACAAGAGTGTTAGAGGCGTTGATATCTCCTTTGCTAGAGATGGGAGCAAGAGACCCATCAGCAAGGGATATCTTCTCTCTACTGGAGAGAAGCTGACTTATATGGGGCTGCATAGAGTTGAGCAACCATCCAATCATTGTGTAGTTCTCCCACATCCATTTCTCATATGCAGGTTTTACTTTACTACTTGTGAGATACCCTAGTTTACCTCTACTGCAAACATAAATCTGTATAGACTGTGCCCATGCTAGATAATTGGTTCCATCTAGTTTAATTGTGGTCACTCCAGTCAAAAAGGAATCTATTGGATCAACCCCAAATACCGACATCTGCTTCATTTCACATCCAGATTGCTCCATTGATCAAATGAATAAAAAACTAGTTTTTCAGTCTTTATAGACCTAACTGAGGTCAGTACAGTACCTGAAGACTCAAAAACTAGGGTTTCATTGTACTCGGTTGTGGGGGAGGAAGAGGGAAGAGGTATTCGCTCCTATTAGAGCTTCCCAACCTTCAAATCTGAACTGCACACTTCTGGGGATCAAAATACACCTCCCAAGCCCTGAGCGCCACACCCAATCCTTCTCCTTAACCTGTAACTTGACAACTCCCTAGTTGGCTAGGGTTTTGGGCAGAAAAATTATAGCTTCACTTGGCAATTTTCAGCCAGATTCTAACTCTCCAATCCTCTACCAACTAGGCAAATAATTCTTTGATTGATCAGCAACTTATCTTTCCATACACTCTTCTTATCAAAGGGTGTATGGGAAAAAAAGGAAAAAACAAAAGGAGGAATAACTGTTCTGATTCTGCTACCAAGATGTAAATCTATCCTTCAAACCTGATATAAAAACTGATTAAAAACAGAAAAGAGAGAGAGAAAAAAGGATTACAGCAGAATAGAAGAAGAAGATGGAGAAGAAGAAGAGAAAGGAGAAGAGAGTTGATGGTTTCCTCTCGCCCTTCACTAATTTTTTATTAATCTTAATTAACTAGGCTAATTACATGTCCACCCTTTAAGTGGGCGGCCAGCTAAGCAAGAACTTAAAAGAAATTAAAAAGAGGTTAACAGGCCCATGAAGAAAAGGCCCATTAATAAAAAATAGAACAAATAGAACACTGCTTAAACATAAAACAAATATTAGGGCCCATTCGGCCCAGTCTCTCTACACTATCAACAATAAGATTAAGCTCTCTTGGGATCCATTGGATCTGGACATTCATCTGAGAGAGAATTTCTCTAATTTCATTTGAACTTTTATTTTCACTTCAAAGTTTCAATGTGGTGTCACCACAGTATAAATTGCCATCTTATCATTAGATTTTTTTTTGCCTTTACTAATCCTTTTTCATGTGCATTATGAATAGTTTAATCTAGTAAGTTCTTTTATCAAATCGATGATTGGCCCAAAGCCCAACCATGGCTCAGCCATAAAATTAAATGCTAAGTAAATGAATCCTGACAGCAAAGAAAACCAACCCAAGACACCATGCACCCCTGATAATAGTGACTTTTCCAAGTCACTGTTTCTGATCCTTTAGTCATGCCACTATCAATTTACAGTCACCTTTAATTTGCAGTCTGTCATAGTTTAGGTCTCTAGAAATTTGTAACCCTTGCAAATCAGCTTGGAGCTCAGCATACACCTAGCAATTTGTAACTCTTTTCAAACTTCTCTTTTGATGATATATGGAGAAATTGGGAAAGTGTAGCAAGAAGTTCTGTTGTGAACTACAAACCAGTTATAGTTTGGAGCTCCCCAGAAGAAGGTTTTATTGAGCTAAATTTTGATGGAAGCCGTGATATAGGAGTGATCAGAAATACTGAAGGAAACATTCTTGTATTTTCAGGTCCTGTTGATGTAGAGGATTCGGTGAATGCTGAGCTCCAAGCTGTTTTGCAAGGGTTACAAATTGCTAGAGGCCTAAACTATGACAGACTGCAAATTGAAGGTGACTCTAAATTGATAGTGGCATGGCTAAAGGATCAGAAACAGTGGCTTGGAAAAGTCACTGTTATCAGGGGTGCATGGTGTCTTGGGTTGGTTTTCTTCTTTGCTGTCAGGATTCATTTACTTAGAATTTTATTTTATGGCTGAGCCTTGGCCACCAATCGTCCATTTGGTAAAAGAACTTACCAGAAACCAGATTCACTTCAGAAGATTTTGCCCAATCTATAGCCCTATTTACTACATATTCCTACATTAACTTTACCTCTTCTTTCTTTTATCTTTGAAAATTCTGCTATTCCTTTCTTCCCATTCCGTCCAAACCAGTGCAGCCCAAGCACATCTCCACATAACTTTACCTCTTCTCTTCAGCCAATTGAAGGTTGTAGGGTCAAAAAGGCTACCGATCTGCAGGGTTACACTCCACCTGTTACCAAAAATACCAAAACTCTTTTCCCAGATGCCTACAACAAAAGGGCAGGAGATTAGAATATTTTAGCAACTTTCTCCATTTTCTTTGCAATGGGTATTCCAGTGTGGAGAGATACACAGATGAGGCCTTTTTTGCAAGACATCCATAGTGTTAAATTTTTCCATGAAAGACTTCTCAATGTAAAGCTCCAACCTTGGGAGGAATGTGTTTGGACCAAATTTCTTTCAGAGGACAAGGCTGAGGGGGTAGGGTTGGAACAGAAAGCGGAGAAGAAAGAGTCACAGGAGAACACTCCCTTAGGATGAGGAGTCCAAATGCGATCATCTGGCTTTAGACAAATCCAGAAAAAACAGAATAAAGTTGAATATTACCAATCAAAAAGTTTGCAGATCCCCAAATTGGTTGGGACAATTGGGAAGATTGGCCATTCTCTTAGCCTAATCATGGATTAAGAAAAAAGGGGAAAGAAGCCAAAATTTACATCTTCCTTGTCAATAAGGATGGTGGTGGAGATCACTTTTTTTTTATCTTATTCTTTGGGTGATTTCTTAATTTCTTATCACCCTTTATTGTACTTTTTTTTTTCTTTTAATGAATGTTTATTTATTATCACAAAGGCAGCCTTCTGTTCCAGTTTTCATACACTTTTTCTATACCATAATTGAATCTTGGTAATCAACCATAAAATTAAAATCATCCTGCATGAATGATCTGATATTGTTTTGCTTGCTCTTGATTTGTTTTCTCATGCTGGCAGATATGAAATTTTCCAGCTCATGGTTAATCTTTACACAGAAAGGTTTATTCAGATGCTCAGACTGCTTAGTGATAGGGCAAATTCACTGTCAAATATTGAAATTTTGAAGGTATTCCTATCTGTGCTTTTTTTTTATGCTTGCTTATGTTATAACTTATAAATCCTCTTTTTATGTCAAACATGTGAACTGACAAGGATTAGTCCCCTGAGGGACAGCTTCTGTTCTTTTCTTCCCTAAATCAATTAAGCAGTGTCTGTAAGCATTACAGATGCACAATAAATTCTTGCTCTCAAATGAGTGAACATCCTTAATGATACCTTTGTTGCATCTTAGAGCATAGTACCCTATATTTAGATTTCTTTCATTAGCAATATTTCTCCTCCAAAGGCCCTCCATTGTGCTTGATTTCTTAGTGGTAATGATATATTATTACTTGCATTGACAATAACATCCAACTCTTGGATTTGGTATAAGTCCATTTGCCAGTTGTAAATCACACCTGAAATAATTCCCTAGCTGACGGTTTAGCTAAACAAGGGGCAGAAAGGGATTCATTGTTTTGGGCTAAGCTGTAACGTTAGTGTCTTTGTATTTTCTTTTTTCCTTTCTTGAAGCTCTTTGTGACTCTTGGAAGATAAGTGTGTTTGTCTTCCACTTGTAAATTTTCTACTGATGAATTAATGAAAGTGTTATTGATAAAAAAAAAATCACACCTGAAATAATCTGAATGAAAAGATAAGAAACATGAGAAAGGAAGGAGATTGAAAGAGAGAGAAGTGATGGAAGAAAATGGAAGAAAAGGAAGAAGAAGAGAGAGTAGTTCAAAACCTCTCTTCACCCCCCAATGATCTCTTTTATTCTTTTGTTGTAAATCACACCTGAAATAATCTGAATTAAAAGAAAAGAAACATGAGAAAGGAAGGAGATTGAAAGAGAGAGAAGTGATGGAGGAAGAAAATGGAAGAAAAGGAAGAAGAAGAGAGTAGTTCAAAACCTCTCTTCAGCCCCCAATGATCTCTTTTATTCTTTTGTTGTAAAAAATAAGGACAATTACATGAGTTCCCTTAGTAGGGCGTCCATCACTAAAGACAGCAATAGAAAAGAATAAAAAAAGAGAAAACAGGCCCATAACTAAGGCCCACTACCTACTAACACAAGTCATAAACATAACTTAAAGAAATATAAAGGAAGTAAGGCCCATTTGTCCCATTATCTCTTCATGCTTCAATTGGTGAGGATGTGATAATTGCATTATTCTTATATTTCTGTGATTAAACTTGGTAAAAGAATGTAATGAAGGACTGGCACAAAAAGTGAGCAAAACTTAATGCACATTAGTGATTGAAGGTCTTCAAAGGCTCGGGTTTCAATTAGAGGAGGTTAGAATAGGTCTTAACAAAATGGATGGGTTTAACTGGATTAATATGGCCGGAATTGAAATTGAAGGTAAATTTCCTGGGAATAAAAAGGGCTATAGTGCTAGAGTAACACCTGAGGTTATGTTTGGAAGTGGTTTATTTACTTTAGATGATTAATTATCAGGCAATAAGCATCCACCTAACAACACATTTTTCTTTCACTAGTTCTAGTCAGATGCTTCTTGACTAATTCGTTTTAAGTTGGATTGTTTCTGCACTGTTTTTATTATTCTTTTTTTTTTATTTCGGCATCACTATTTTTTTTGCTAAGAATGCTTGGTTCAAGTTCCTTCAATTAGACTTTATGATCTTATATTGAGCACTTATATATTGAGTGCCCTTAGAGTTTCTGCATTACTAGTCAGATGCTTCTTGACTACTTTGTTTCCTTTCTTATTCAACCCTATTCTTGCTTGCAGGTAACTGGTTGGGTTGTTGAATACCAAGAAAATTTGATCGGGCTTGGAGTTGACGATTCTTTAGCACAAGTTTGTTCTGAGAGTGGTGCAATGGATCCCCTGATGAACTCATATGTTGAACGAATGCAAGCCACAACACGAGTAACTGCTAACCATTTTATCCAATTGATTGTGCTTGTGTATGATCAATGCACATATTGTGTTATCTTTTTTTATTCAACTATCAACTATTTCCTTTTCTGTTGTAGAAATGGTACTTAAATATTTTGGAGGCTGACAAGGTACAGCCACCAAAGAAAACAGAAGATGGGAAGCTATATACCCCAGCTGCTGTTGATTTATTTAGGATCTTAGGAGAGCAAGTCCAAATTGTTCGTGATAACAGCACAGATGTCATGCTCTACCGGATTGCTTTGTCACTTATTCAGGTAAGTGCAGGTTTACTAGATTGATGCCTATTTTGTGCATTAGTATTTACCTGCCCTATGATATTTTCATGTGCTTTTAGTATATGTTGCTTTTACTCTGGATGTACAGTTCAAGATTCCAAATTACACATTTGATTATGTCTAAATGGGCTCTTGATTTTTGTTCAATTTTAAGTTCATGTATTTTCAATTTCAATCGTGTGGAAACTTGTCATATTGTTTCCTCGTGATTTTCTCTCAGTTTTGTCTCTTGCTCATCTACAGGTAATGATTGATTTTCAAGCAGCTGAAAGGAAGAGACTAGAAGAACCAGCTTCTGAAATTGGTTTAGAGCCATTGTGTGCAATGGTTTGTAGATTTCTTGAATCTGTAGCATACTTGGAGAGTAGTTGGTGATTTAATATGAATAAACCAATCTATATTTTATGCCTTTTGCATTGTGACAGATTAACAATAACCTCCGCTGTTATGACCTTGCAATGGAGCTTAGTAATAGCACGACAGAATCTCTTCCACAGAACTATGCTGAGCAGGTCTTGGAATTTCTATCCTTTTCACATGTTTCATGAGTTCACGTCGTCAATAATCAATTTTTAAGCTCCTCTAAATTTTATTCATGGATAAATCATTTAAAATTTTACTTTTAATTGTTAACACTGTAATACTTCACTAATTTATAAAAAGAAAGGCGATGTATACTGTTAGAATAATGTTAAAATAACTTAGTTGCAGATGTTAGGGCCTGTTTGGYTAATTAAAGTGTTTTTTATTTCGTTTTTTATTTCTGTTATGTCTGTTATTGTACTCAGGGGTACAAGGGTCTTTTCCCTTGTTATTTCTGTCGCCCTATATATAGTAAAATAAAAGACTGGCGCTGTCAGTACTGTTACATTGCAAAACCTTCTCTTTTCTCTCCTCTCTTCTCTTCTCTTCTTCTTCTCTTCTCTTCTCTTCTTCTTCTCTTCTCTTCTTCTTCTCTTCTCTTCTCTTCTCTTCCTCTTATCTCTGGCCGGCCACACTGCCAAGATATACAAACACTGGCTACATAACTTAAAGATTCCTTTTCTTTGATTACATATAACAATCGGGTCCCTATGAATAACCCCCAATATAACTGATCCCTGTTGATGCCCTGTTTTGCTAATGCATCTCCCATTTTGTTTATGACCACCTTTGTGTCCACATGAAAATGGTGTGCAGTTCCTTTGCTATATGTCTTTTTTCTCTCAAAGCATGCCTATTCATTAATGGTCCTGGGTTATTATGTTTGATCCGACAAATAATTACCTTTGAGTCCTCCACTATGAAATTGTTGTAGTTGATTTCCTTCTCTAATCTCAAACCATGGAGTTGTGCATATAATTCAGCCTTGGTTCAATATTCTTGGCCAATAGGTCTGCAATATATCACCAGGATTTCCCCTTTATGGTCCCTAAAAACTCCTCAATGCTTGAAGCTTCTAGATTGTCCAAACTCCAAATTACACCCATCAAAATTTAGTTTAACAAGGGTGTAGGTGGTAGAGACTAAAGAAATGTAGACACTATGCACTCCTCCCCACCAACAACCAAAAACTTGCTCTACAAACAGAAAAATCTCAATAACTGCATTCTTTTTCCTTCTCTTTGTCATCCTATTTAATCACCTTTGTTTTTTTTTAACATGAACAATGCTTCGTTTCCATCTAGAAGTATTTGCTATTAGTGACTAGGGAATTTTTGTTCCCCACAAAGTTTCTGTATATAGAACAATGATTATTACTAGTAGTGTAGAGAGTGTTTATGAGGAGACAGAAGAGAAAAAGAGAATGGGAGGAGAGAGGGGAGGAAAGAGTAAAGAGAATATGAAGGAGGGAATGAAAGAAGAGAGAGTTGGATAGAGGAGAGAGAAAATCTGAAGAGGGAGAAAAGGTGGTGGAGAGAGAGAGATGTGGTTGACCCAAACAGGTACTGATGACCCAACCTAAGCCAACCGACTTAAATCTACCAATTGCTTATACAGCCCATTCTGACCTGCCAACTAAATGGGTGGGTGGATTGGTAAGATAGCTTGGGTCAGAAATTGCCACCCCTATTTCAGGATCCCAAGATTGGCTGGGTGGGTGGATCAGCCCAACAATATCTAGATGTATAACAAGGAAAAAATAAGAAAAGGCTGTTCAGGAGAAGGAAGTGGAAGAAAAAAGGAGAAGAAATGGATCGGTAAGGTAGCTTGGGTCAGAAATTGCCACCCCTATTTCAGATGGATCCCAAGATTGGCTGGGTGGATGGATCAGCCCAACAATATCTTGATGTATAACAAGGAAAAAATAAGAAAAGGCTGTTCAGGAGAAGGAAGAAGGAAGTGGAAATAAAAAGGAGGAGAAGAGAGCTGAATCTTCCCTCTCTCATTCCCTTAATCATTATATTTGCTTGAAATAAAATAAATAGGAAAATTACATGGGTGCCCCTAGTTAGGCGGCTTACCCAAAGACCATAAGAAATAAAAAGTTTAAGGCCCATAGAGCCAACCCATTACAGTAGAAATAAAGAGGGAAAATAACTAAATAAAACTAAGGCCTATTCGGCCCAATCTCTCTACACTCCCCCTAAAACTGAGCATAGATGTCAATCATGCTCATCTTGCTTACATAGTGTTGGAGCTTCACCTTAGGTACTCCCTTGGTCAAGATAGCTTCTAGTTGTTCCTCTAAAGAGATGAGAGGGAGACACACTTCCCCTGAGGCCAGTTTCTCTCGTATTAAATGTTTGTCTACCTCAATGTATTTGGTTCTGTCATGCTGAACCGAGTTATAAGCAATGTTGATGACAACCTGATTATCACAATACAACATCAATGGCCTATCATAATGAAGTCCCATCTCTTCTAAGATAGATCTGAGTCAGAACAACTCCGACACCCCATGGGCCATAGGCCTATACTCTGCCTCAGCAGATCAAAAAACAACAGACTACTTCTTACTCTAGGAGACAATATTTCCAACACAATGGAACAATAACCAGATGTGGATCATCTGTCCTCTATACTACCTATCTGGTCAGCATATCATATACCTCTAACTTCATATTACCATGCTTAACACAATACCCTTTCTGCAGCAGCCATATGTGTGTCTCTAGGAGCATGCATAAACCGACTAATCACTCACAACATAGGAAATGTCTACATTTGTTGTACATAAGTATAGAAGCTTCCCCAATAATCTCTGAAACACTCCCCTGTTGGTCAAGAGTTTTCTATTATTAGTTGAGAGCTTATGATTTACATCAATAGGAGTGGAAGTAGGCTTGGCACCAAGTTTCTCGGTTTCAGTGAGAAGATACAACACATACTTTCTCTACAAGATGAAAAGCCCCTCTTTAGATCTAGCAACCTCAATGCTTAAGAAATGCCTCAACTCGTCCAAATCTTTAATCTCAAATTCAGAGTTAAGGGGGCATTTTAGATCATGAATTTCTTGTGCATCACTACTTATGACAGCAATGTCATACAAGAGTATGGCCTAATTATGTTTGAGTATAACCAAATTGAATAAGTGCAGTCTGGAATCTATCAAACCAAGCACTGGGAGCTTGCTTAAGTCCCTTTTCTCTTTTTTTCTTCTCTTTCTTTTTCTTCCCTTCCCTTTCTTTTCTTTTCCTTTCCTTTCCTTTCCTTTTTTTCTTTTTCTTATCTATCTTTTTATGTAAGATGTGCATGAGGCGTATGAGGTGTATGCCTCTAGCACACCTCATGAAAAAAGCGCATGAGGTGTACGCCTCTAGCACACCTCATGAAAAAAGCGCATGAGGCATATGCCTCTTGCACCTGAGGCGTATGCCTCAAAGGTGTTAGCGTCTCTAGCATATGCCTCAGGGCATTTTGGGAGCACCTTGCCTAGAGGTGTGCCTCTAGGTGTATGCCTCCCACGCCTTTTAAAACACTGAAAAGGAATAGTAGGAAGGGGACAACAAATTGTAAGAGGGGTGTTTCGAAATGCAGTGTGTAGTACATATCCATTTACCTTTTCTTACAACAATGGGTAGGTCAAGGTCTGGGAGTGAAGGTGTTGGTGATGGTTTTATAGGAGTTGTCCTCTCTTTAATGTTTGTAGGTGCTAGAGGCTCACCTAGAGATGGGGGAACAAGCTGTCCATGCCTTGGCCTTTGTCGTTGGTACCACCTCTAAAGAAGAGGGGATGTAGTGAACATAGGAAGACTATGAGGAGGTGCAGGAGAAGCAGGAATGGGGGATCCAAAAGAGCCAATAGGAGCCAAAGGAGTTGAAGAAGAACTAGCACAAGAGTCAACTAGAGCTAGTAAAGGTCAAGGTTTAAAATGTCAATGTTAGTGGAGATGTCAGTCATCCTAATATAAGAACCATGTTGGAAATATTGTAAAAGTTATAGACATGGTGGAAACATTTTAAAATATGCAAAATATAGATTGATATTTTATGAAATGATAAAAGAAGCACAGGCACACCTTTTTAAATTATTATCTTGACCCAAGTCATTAAACAATGCTAAGAAACTAAGGTTATAGACAAAAGAATACGTTTTGAAGTTGCTTTATAAAACTTAAGATTCAAAGCTTCATGATAAAATGATTTAAAGCAAAATGTAACTCTGGGTACTTCAGTACGTGAACGCATCAATGGTAAGGCCCCCACACATCAGAGGAAACAATGTTAAAAGGAAAAGTGGATCTTATATTACTTATATTATAAGAGTTTTCTACAATGTTTTGAAAACTAACAGGACTCACAATGTAGACTCGACAAATTGACCCCTTCAAATGTTGTAGGAAACAAAAGCTTTATTGAAGAAAAGGAAAGATGACCCAAATGATGGTGACATAACATGACACAATTTGCTGACTCTGATACTGTAGATCCAAAAGCTGATTTCTAAGGTTGTACTCAACTTTGCTCAGGCATGTCTAACAGATATATCCCATTCGCCTCATAGCCACTCCCAATCACCTTCTGAGATTTCTTGTCTTGAAAAACACAGTAAGAAGGGAAAAATGTTACATGCAATTCAGAGATTTAGTCAAATTACTAATTGAAAGAAGGTTATTAAGTTTAGGTACATGACATAGTTTTCAAGGCGCCAAGGCAAGGCTAGGCGATGGATTTTTTTAAGTAAAAACATGTATCCTAGGGTAGTTCCCTAGGTTCCATAATCATATTTCCTTAATAAAAAGTACAAAGAAAAGAAAATTCGAAAAATATAGGGGCCAAACCCCTATTTCTGTTATAGCTAAAGAATAAAAGAAAAGGTGGAAGAAGAAGAAGAAGAAGAAGAAGAAGAAGAAGAAGAAGAAGAAGAAGAAATTAGTATATAAAAACACAAAATTAGTAAAGAAAAGAAGAAAATGTGTTGACTGGACAAGAATTTATGTTCTTTCTTACTTATTGGTTCAGGTTTGAAATCTTTGAGGGTTCAATACAGAATTTAGCAATGTTTGTGTTGATTAAACCCTAACAAATAAGAAAATAACAAAAAGAAATTAGTATATAAACACACAAAATGAATATTTTAGTTAAAAAT